TTCCAGGTTGGTGGTACACCACCACAGAGTCCCCAACCATGAAGAGTCTCGAAACCAACCCTCCAAGGGGCTACACCAAGTGAAATGTAACACTACACGAAGTAACGTTACTATTTTCACTATTTAATATTTATCCGCGTCCCTTGGGCTTGAAATCTTGAGCTCTTGGTCTTGGTTCTGCAAGATAAATTCTTCTTGAGTTGATGGGGGCTTGCTGCACACACCTGCGACACGATGGACACTTCACACTCGACAAAATAGAAATAACACATGCGACACGCAAACGACGACTTGACATGCCAGTTGTAAAAACTCGCTAATGTCTTGACCGACACAAACCACATTGTGATACACCATTCAAACACACACACAAGCACTGGATAGCAATGACATAGACTCACAATTCATTCCATGCCATGCATGCACACACACAAGCAAGGACGACAAGCCGAGTGCAAGCCATAGGGTTGCACCAACAAACTCCCCCTCGGATTGTTGGCCTTAGAATCTGCTCCCCTTAGTTCAGAGCCATCCCAGCAAGCTTGCAACACTTCCAATGCTGCTGCTCAACCAGCCTCTTGGTCATCATATCAGCAGGCTGCGCCGTCGTCTTCACGTAGTGCAACTCCACTTCAGCCGCGGTTACCATGCTCCTCACCCAATGCCACTTCACCTTCATGTGCTTGGTAAGGCCATGAAGAACCGGGTTCTTAGCCAATGCAATAGCACCCTGGCTATCACAATAGAGTGGGGTAGGTCCTTGCTGCTCCTCCCCCAATTCAGCTAGCAAACGCCGCTGCCACACAACCTCTCTTATGGCACGGAAGAGTGCCATGTACTCGGACTCCACCGAGCTCAATGCTTGGTCCACTTGCTTCTTGCTCTCCCAAGCTGTTGGCCCTCCACCAACACAGCAGATGAAACCTCCCACACTTGTCATGTCCTCTGGTTCTGATGCCCAAGATGCATCAGAGAAGGCGGTGAGAAAGAGCCTCCCGGGTTCGACTCCATCCGCACCCTTTTGACGTCTTTGTGCCGCCGCGGAGTATTGCAGTCCAACAGTTGCTGTTTGGCCAAGGTACTTGGCCACCCTCTCTCCAGCTGCTACCTGCTCCTCATTAGGGCATTGGACAACCCTAGCCAGCTGCCCGGTAGAAAAGGCTGCATCCGGCCTTGTGTGAATGGCCGCATACATGAGGCTGCCCACCAAGGAGTGAAAACGGCGCCTCTCCTCTTCACCAACACTTTCCTCCGCTGGTCCTTTCACACACTTGAACCCTGAGGTAAGAGGAGTAGCCACATGACCTTCACTCTTCCCAAAGTTTGCAGCCAAGGCCTCCAAGTACTTCTTTTGATGCACTCGCATCCACCGCTTCTCCACATCTCGCTCAATGTGAAGCCCAAGGTAGTAGTTGACGTCACCAAGGGTCTTGCACTTGAACTTGTCTTGAAGCTTCAGCATCACCTCCTTCACAAGGTCAGAGGAGGGTGAGAATATGAGGATGTCATCCACATAAACCACCATGAAGCTCCTCTGCTCCCCCTCGCCAAGCATGAACAAGGATTGATCGGCCGTTGAGGGAGTGAAGCCGATCGCCTCCAAGACTTCCCGCAGCTTGATGTACCATTGCCTAGGGGCTTGCTTGAGGCCATAGAGTGCTTTCTTCAGCTTCCACACTCTGCCACTCCCATCATTGTACCCCTCTGGCTGCTCCATGTAGGTCTCTTCCTCCAAAACGCCATTGAGGAAGGCCGTTACTATATCCATTTGCTTCACCACCCATCCCTTGATGGCCGCCGCGGCGAAGAGGGTTCGAAGGGTTGTACCCTTCACCACAGGGGCATACACTTCATTGTAGTCCTTCTTCTCTTGCTGCTGATACCCCTTGGCTACAAGTCTGCTCTTGTAGCGCTCAATATTGCCGTCGGCGTCGGTCTTGCGCTTGAAGAGCCACTTGGAAGAAATCGCCTTACGCCCCGGAGGTAGGTTCACCAAGTCAAACGTGTTGTTCTCGATGATGCTCCCCATTTCTTCATCTGAGGCCTTCTTCCACTCCTTCCCATTGGGGCCCTCCCAAGCCTCCTTGGGATTTGTAGGCTCCCCCGGTATCTCCACCGGAGAGAAGAAGGCAAAAGCGCACTCCTCGCTTTCATCTTCCGCATCATCACCTAGCATGAGAGCCGAACCGGTCAAGGTTGAGTTGGCTGGTCCTCCAAGCCGTTCATAGCTCAACCTATTGGGGGGCTGAGTCCTCCTTCTCCCCCTTCCTTCCTCCTCTGCTGCAGGGACTTGAATGCTCTCATGGCGTTGCGGCAAATCTGGTCGGTTTCCTCGAGCACTTGTAGCACGAGGCGGAAGTGACGGTGCACGCTCATCACCTTGCTGCACCTCCTCCTCCTCTTCTCCCCCATTCATTTGAGGAGATTGCCTTGTGATAGTGCTGCTGCTACTCAGCTCCAAGGGCAGCTCCACATGCTCCAAGCCGGTACTCTTCACCTCTCCAAGCCGCACACCAATCTTCGCTTGGTTCTCCGCCTTCCACTCCTTGTACGGTAAGTTCTCCATGAACTTGCAATCTCTGCTCACCAGGAACTTCTTGGTAAATGGGTCCCAAAGAAGCCATCCCTTGCTGTTTTGAGCCATGCCCAGGTGCACGGCCCATGTTGCCTTGGCATCAAGCTTGTTGTGCCGAAGTTTCTTAGGCACAAGTGCCATGCACATGCACCCGAACACCCGAAGCATATCCACCTTCAGCTTCCTTCCAATCCACTCCACATAGGGCACCCATTTGTCTTCTCCCACATGAGTCAAGGCTCTGTTCTTGGCCACACAAGCATGCCGCACCGCATCCGGCCAAAAGTAATTGGGTAGACCGGCTTCAATGAGAAGTCCCCGAGCCGTCTCCGTGAGTGTCCGATTCGCACGCTCGGCGATGCCGTTCATTGCAGGAGAGTAGGGCATGGTAAGAGAGTGTCTTATGCCCTGATTCTTCAGCCAAGTTGAGAAATCCTTGCTCAGGAACTCTCCCCCACGGTCAGTGCGAATCGCCTTCACAAGTCGGTCTTGTTGCCGCTCCACCATCGGCAACCAATCGGTCTTCACCGTTTCAGCTACGTCACTCTTCTTGGGCAGTACATACACCCAAGTCATGCGAGTGTAGACGTCCACAATGGTGAGGAAGTACTCTGCTCCAGCAGCTCCAAGCTTCAAGGGGCCCACCACATCCATCACCACCTCATCAAGTGGTGCCTTCGCCGTTGTCTCCGAGCTATGGAACGGGTAGCGGGTGAACTTGGCTTGCATGCATGTTGGACAGCCAAGCACCTCATTGGGCTCCCCCTTGACACGTATCCCACTGACCATCTCTTGCTTAACAATCTGCTGCAAAATGGGCAATGCCACATGCCCCATTCGCCGATGCAAGGTCAGCCAATCACACTCTCCCGTAGCGGAAGTCGGGTTGGAGAAAGCGGCACTCGCAATTGTGCCCCACAAGCTCTCTCCTTTCTCCTTCGCCGCTGCTGCTTTGTTGATCTTAGCCTTCTCCTCCTCATTTCCACCACCTTTGGCTGCTGCACCATTCTCCTTGGGTTCACACGCCTTGCTGGTCTCTCCAAGGTTGCACTCCTTCGAGTCACTCTTGGTGTCACTTTGCTTTCCGTGATCACCGCCACCAACCGCTTCACGCTTGGTGCTGACGCTTGCTGCCACTTGCCTCTCTTTAGGCATGGGGACCACTGGGATTTTCCACATCTCATTGTAGATGTCCCTGTCCTCATGAAGGTCCCAAAGCTTCCGCTCACCAAGCCTTGCGGTATAGGTTTTGGATCCCTTGGAAGATGTGTCCATGCCGGCCTTTTGCAAACGCCGAACGGAAATCAGGTTGGCTGCTAGGTTGGGCACCAAAAGCACGTTCTTGAGGCCCACCATCTTCCCATCAGCACCCTTGAACATGGCCTTGCCCATGCCTTTCACCTCTGCTCGCTGCCCCAAAGCCGATGTAACATGCTTGACCGGCGACGGTTCGAGTTCGGTGAGCAAGTCCGCACGAGGTGTCATGCTATAGGTGGCGCCACTATCGATCACCCAAAAGTCCAGAGAGTGAAGGGTGACCTTTCCCACAGTAGCTGGCTCCTCAAAGCCTTCCACACCTCCTGCTGCAGCTGCCGCTTGCGTGGAGACACAGAAGAATTGGCCCGGGTATCGATCTTCACTCGAGTCCTTGTCGTAGTCTCCACCTTTCATGCTTGCCGCTTCGCTTCCACGACCACCACGGCCTCCACGACCTCTGCCTCTTCCTCCCCTTGCTCCTCTGCCCTCTTGGCCTTGAGAAGGGGTCCATCCATCAGGCAATCTGAAGCAATCTCTCCACATGTGGCCGGTCTTGTGGCAAAAGTGGCATTCGCCATCAAATCTGTTGTGTGATGTCATCATATGTTATCACATTCTGTCTGCCTCCCATCCCTTGTTTCAATTCGCACGTATGGTTTGACTGTGTGTGAAAGAATTTGTGTGGTGTGTGTTCTGGAGTTTGGGAATGTGTTTTGTGTTATTCTGTCTGAGCAGGTATTTGTGATGATAGATCTTGAGAAGATCTTTCCGACGCAACAAGAATCGCGTCAATCGGAGCAAGAACGCGAAAGCTATGAAGATTCAAAGTTCATGAGCTTGCGTTACAATTGCGGCGGTTACAAAGTGAAGTTGTGGGGTGACTTTATATGGAGTTGGGACCTTTGGGGTTGGGGAAATTCGTCACTCTACTGTAACAGCTGCAAATTGGTTGGGAACAACCAAGCTAGGTTGGCAAGGGTGGCCAACTTGGATGGATTGGTTGGGAAGGGACAAATGTCAAAGTTGGGGTTCCTATAGGGAGGGGAATCTTTGTGCTTATGGGGTTTCCTTGGTTGGGGACTCTCTTGGGACCTTCCCTCTCATCCCTCTCTTCTATCCCAACCTTTCTCTTGCTCCTCTAATTCCTTGTGAGATTCTTGAACTTTGATTGAACCTTTGAGATTGAGTTAAGTTCTCCTCCTACAGCTTACCCCCTAATGCGTCCAAAGCCATAGCGTCGCGAATACTTCATCAATCAACGTGATTCAAATTGGGAACGGTAGCTGAGATTAAGAGCTACAACATATCCAAGTTTCGCGACATTCCAACGGCTAGTTTTTCGTCGACATTGTTTCTTGTGAAGACGACGTTTCTGTCCAGAATTTCGGATTTATATTTTGAGTAATTCTAGTTCCTAAGTTCACCTAGACTCCGTCCTTAATTCTAACAAGTGGTATCAGAGCAATATTAAGGACATTGAGAGGAGTCTACAGAAGTGTGAAGACCCTTCTAGACCCACCATGGCCTGTGGGTGTGCCTAAGTGGTGTTCTAAAGGTTGGATGTGTCTTCCGCTAAGGGAAACTCTGCCGAAATTTCGTGGACGCCGATACTTGTGAAAATATCGAGGAAGCTGAGTGTGGACAGCAAAGGGGGGCTGAAATTCGTCATTTCTCAAGGAGAAGATGAATGAGAGAGGAGGAGATGCTAATGGAAGAGGAGCTGTACCTGAGAAGGCAAGTGAGCCGCCGCCATCAAAAGTTGAAGCTTTGGATGGCTCCAACTATGAGGAATGGAGCGGACGGATGAGGAGTGCCTTCAAACGCTACAAGCTACTGAAGATTGCTGTTGGGGAAGAGAAGATGCCGGAAGAAGGCGAAGCACGTGAACGGTGGATTGAGAAAAACGCGGTGCTTTTCGACCTCATCCTTCAATCGGTCAACAAGGAGATGTTCGAGCACATCAAGGATCTTGTGGAAGCGGATGATTCGGGTCCAAGGGCATGGAAACTACTACGCGATGTGTTTCAGCCCAGCACTCTCCTGATGGTGATCGTGCTCAAGAAGGAACTTGCTGCCATCTCCATGCGACCAGGGGACGATGTGAAGCTGGTCCTTGACAAGATCAAGGACACCTATGCAAGGATGGCAGCAGCGGGCAGCGGTGTATCTCAGCTGCAGCAGTGCACCAAGATCATCTCGGTGTTGGACAACTCTTGGGACAACCTCATCCCCACCCTCAACTCTCAGCAAGATCAATGGACACCTGAGTGGCTAAGGCAGCAGATTCTGCAGGAGGACTTCCGCAGACGCCATGTGGGAGGCGGTGCTGCCACTAAGACTGCTGAGGGGTATGGAGCTGCAGGGCGCGGCAGAGGAAGAGGGGGTTGGAGAGGCCGAGGCCGTGGGAGAAGCTTTGGCAGAGGTAGAGGCCGAGGTGACTATAATGAGGGGCATGGGAGCTCCAGTGGCAGGGGGAGTACCAGAATGGAGGGCACCTGCTGGTACTGCAAGAAGGTCGGGCATCCTTGGTTCAAGTACTTCAGCAGGCCGGAGGGATGGGCACCTCCAGGCATGAAGCCGCCAAGTGGTGAACGCGCACAAGGTGGCGCTGTGCAAGGCTCAGGTGCACAAGGTGAAGGTGCACAAGGTAACGCCTATCCTGGGATGTATCTCATGGTTGAGGATGTGCATGGGCATGAGGGTGATGTGGGATCTGTGGGAAAGGTTGTGATGCACCCTCTCACGCACTGGGTGATTGATTCAGGTTGCACCAGTCACATGACCCCACGGGCAGATTTGCTTGATGAGGTAAAACCCCCTGGGAAGATCAAGTATGTGGCAGCAGCGTCAGGTGCTTTGCTCCCCGTGATTGGTATTGGAAATGCCAAGGTTAAGGGAGCTAATGGGGAGCTTGTGGGGCTTGGGAATGTTCTGCTGGTTGAAGGCTTGTCTGCTAACCTTCTCTCTGTGCGACGACTGCAGAAGAGCAAGGCCGAAGTGACCTTTGGACCAACCAGCTGCCGTGCTAAGCTTGGGAAGAAGGTGCTGTGGAGTCTGGAAGAGGAGACCAGCTGCATCAAGGACCTGTGGCAGCTGCCCATCATCCCTTGGAATGGGAAGACTCCAACAGCAGCAACGGCAGCAGCGGCAAAGGCAACAGCAGGAGGAGATGCAACTGCACCAACTGATGGGGTCCTGGAAGCAGTCAAGAAAGTGCAGCAGCAGCAGACACATGGTGAGGTGCTTGCTGGTGTGGATGCGAGTGCGGCATGGGCTAAGGCTTCATCAAGGAGTGGAGAGGCCGATTGGGAGACATGGCATGAGAGGCTGTGTCATGTGAACTTCCCTATGCTGCAGAAGTTGGTGAAGGATGGGAGCCTGAAGGGCTTGGAGGTGAAAGGGGGAGTGAAGGAGATTGGGAGCTGCCCTACATGCTTGGAGACCAAGTTCTCCAAGTTCCCCTTCAACAGCACTACAGGACCAGCCAAGACCCCACTTGCACTTGTGCACATGGATGTGGTGGGGCCCACAAGAGCCCCTTCCCTCTCAGGCAGCCGCTATTTCTTGACAATTGTGGATGACCACACTCGGCAGTGTGGGTTTACCCTTTGAACAGCAAGGGGGAGGTGGCAGCGGCTGTCCTTAAGGAGTGGATGCCTAGAGCTCAGAGGGAATGCGGACACAAGGTGAAGGTGATCCGCAGTGACAATGGTGGGGAGTTCATTGGAGCTGATTTTGAGGGGGAGTTGAAGAGGAAGGGGATCCAACATCAACTGACAGTGCCCTACAACCCGCAGCAGAATGGCGTGGCTGAGAGGTTCAACAGGACCCTGCAGGAGGGGGCACGCACTCTCCTTGGGCGTGCAGGGCTGCCTGATCCGTTTTGGGTGTCTGCACTGAGGCAGGTCGCCCTTGTGAAGAATAGGGTGCTGGCTACAGTTGGAGATAAGGAGTGGATCCCATATGTCAAGTGGTATGGGAGTGCTCCAGCTGTGAATATGCTGAGGGCATTTGGGTGCATGGTAGTGTTTCATGTGCCTAAGGAGAAAAGGGGAAGTTGGAGGCTTCTGGAAGATGGGGTGTGCACTTGGGGATTGCAAAGGATCACAAGGGGTGGCTGCTATGGGACTTGACCACCCAGAAGTTGACAGTGTCAAGGGATGTGAAGTTTCTTGAGTCCCTGTACTACAAGGAATGGAAGCAGCAGCAACAGAAGCTTCCATCTACACCGCTCATTGTGGAGGCAGATGAGGTGCAGCAGCCTTCAAGACAGGTGGAGGTTGCAGTGTCAGAGGAGGAGATGTCTGGGGTGACTGAGGAAGGGGGAGCAGCTGAAGTAGAGCAGCAGCAGCAGCAGCAGCATGAGTCTCCACCTCGAGTTCCACACCCGCCTGAGCGACCTAGGAGGGATGTGCGCCCTCCGGTGAGGCTGACCTATGGGGGAAGAGGCAAGCCGAATGTGGTGCAGGCTGGGAGTGTGGTTGAGCAGATTGAGGAAGATGAGATCGCTCACTGCTACTGGGCACCAATCCCTGAGCCCAAGACTCGAGAGGAGGCCTTGAATGGACCAAATGGGGAGAAGTGGAAGGCGAGTGAGGATGAGGAGTTTGGGTCCCTGATTGAGAACGAGACATGGGACCTGTGTGACTTGCCTCCTGGAAAGAAGGCAATCACTTCCAAGATGATCTACAGGCACAAGTATGGACCTGAAGGGGAGCTGACCCGATACAAGTCTAGGCTTGTGGCACGGGGGTTTCAGCAGACAAAAGGGAAGGACTATGATGAGGTGTTTGCTCCTGTGGGGAAAGGAACAACACTGAGGGTGCTGTTGGCGATAGCTGCACTCCTGGGATGGAAGATACGGCAGATGGACATTGTGACTGCCTTTCTGAATGGGATCATTCTGGAGGAGGTGTACATGAAGCAGCCAGAGGGGCTGGATGATGGGAGCGGCAGGGTCTGCAGGCTGAAGAAGGCATCTATGGCCTTAAGCAGGCGCCTCGTGCATGGTATCACAAGTTGGAGGAGGCGCTGTTGGCTGGGGGTTTCAAGAAGAGTGAGTGTGACCCCAGCCTGTTCCTGCTGCAGGAGAAGGATGAAATCCTCATGCTCTTGGTGTATGTGGATGATATCCTTCTCTTTTCTGCATCAACTGCTTTGCTGGACAGCGCAGAGCAGATGCTGGAGATGCAGTTCAAGTGCTCCAAGATGGGTGAGGTGAAGTACTACTTGGGGATGCATGTGGAGAGAGATGTGGAAAAGGGTGTGCTGAGGTTGCACCAGAGGAAGTACTGTGAGGGGCTGGCTGAGAAGTATGGGCTGCAAGATGGGGGAAAGCCAGCAACACCACTACCTTCGGGTTCACTGTGGAGCCATGTGCTGATGAGGAGGTAGTGGGTGATAGTGACAGGAAGCTGTTTCATTCGATGGTTGGGTCGCTGAATTATGCTGCAAATCATACACGGCCTGACATTGCATTTGCTACATCACGATGGCTAGTGTGGTCTCACGCCTAGTCATGAGCAGCTGGAAGCGGCCAAGAGGTTGGTCCGCTATGTGAGTGCTACGGCATCAGTGGGATTGGAGTACAGTGGAGTGAGGCAGCGGTTGCAGAGAGGTGCTGCAGATGTGAAGAGTGGAGAGATGCTCTTGAGTTGCTATACTGACGCTAGCTTCAACTCAGTGAAAGCGGATGGCACCAGCATTGGGGGTTATGTGTGCTTGCTAGGAGGTGGTGCTGTGAGCTGGCGCAGCAAGAAGCAGAATGAGGTGGGATTGTCCTCATGTGAGACTGAGTACATGGCCTTACACCATGGGGCCAAGGAAGTAGTGTGGCTAAGGCGTTTGTTGGAGGAGTTGGGAGTTGGTCAGGAGGAGCCGACAGTTGTGTTTTGTGACAATGAGTCTGCTGTGAAGCTCGCCAAGAATGCTTGTCTGCATGGGCTGACAAAACACATAAGGCCTAAGTGGCATTGGGTGAGGAGACTCCTTGATAAGGAGGTGCGGCTGGAGATAGTGAAGACCCATCAGCAGGCAGCAGATATTTTCACCAAGCGTCTGGCGAGGCGGATCATTGGAAGGGCATGAAGCTTGCTGGGATGAGTGTGCATTGAGTATGCATGCTTGAGATGTTGGTATGGTGGATGATGGTTGGCAGCCAGAGGGGGAGATTGTTGTGTGATGTCATCATATGCTATCACATTCTGTCTGCCTCCCATCCCTTGTTTCAACTTGCATGTATGGTTTGACTTGTGAAAGAATTTGTGTGGTGTGTGTTCTGGAGTTTGGGAATGTGTTTTGTGTTATTCTGTCTGAGCAGGTATTTGTGATGATAGATCTTGAGAAGATCTTTCCGACGCAACAAGAATCCTTCAATCGGAGCAAGAACGCGAAAGCTATGAAGATTCAAAGTTCATGAGCTTGCGTTACAATTGCGGCGGTTACAAAGTGAAGTTGTGGGGTGACTTTATATGGAGTTGGGACCTTTGGGGTTGGGGAAATTGTCACTCTACTGTAACAGCTGCAAATTGGTTGGGAACAACCAAGCTAGGTTGGCAAGGGTGGCCAACTTGGATGGATTGGTTGGGAAGGGACAAATGTCAAAGTTGGGGTTCCTATAGGGAGGGAATCTTTGTGCTTATGGGGTTTCCTTGGTTGGGGACTCTCTTGGGACCTTCCCTCTCATCCCTCTCTTCTATCCCAACCTTTCTCTTGCTCCTCTAATTCCTTGTGAGATTCTTGAACTTTGATTGAACTTTTGAGATTGAGTTAAGTTCTCCTCCTACAGCTTACCCCCTAATGCGTCGAAAGCCATAGCGTCGCGAATACTTCATCAATCAACGTGATTCAAATTGGGAACGGTAGCTGAGATTAAGAGCTACAACATATCCAAGTTTCGCGACATTCCAACGGCTAGTGTTTTGTCGACGTCGTTTCTTGTGAAGACGACTTTTCTGTCCAGAATTTCGGATTTATATTTTGAGTAATTCTAGCTCCTAAGTTCACCTAGACTCCGTCCTTAATTCTAACAACAAATGGCTCGACCGCGCCACGCCGTAGCCACATTGTTGTTGTTGCTGCCATATCCTCCATTACCACGGCCTCCATTGAAGTTTCTGCTGCCAAATCTGCCTCCTTGCCATCTGCCCCTTCCAGGCCGTGCCCACAGCCCATGCTTGCAACTCCAACACCATCGGGACCCGGCCAATTCGGACGGCGGAAATCTTCTTGTAGATTTCCGCTTCTGCATCTTCGACGTGAAGACAGGCAGATCTCGTATAAGGTTGATGATTGAGCGAGGACCATGAGTCCGGAAGTAAGGCAGCAGCTTGGGTCTTCTTTGAAGGTCACTGTAGTTCAGGTCAGCTCCTTCCGAGCCGTGTGCAACAAGTCGAAGAATTTCTGCACTCCTTCCTCCACCGGTTCGCCTTCGTCAATTCGAAGAGCCGCCATTTGCCGCTCCAAACCACAGCCACCGCCGCTGTTGCAGGAGCGTGTACACCCTTGGAGAGCCCATGCCTTTGGTCCCTTTGCTGGTTCACGCTGAAAAGCTTGATGTACGGATTTGGCTGCTCCCCAACGCTTGCCCAAGTGAAGGTAGCCTTGTGCGCTCTTTCGCACCCACGGGCTCTTCTCCGGGTCGTTCTCGAGGTGGTTCTCCGTTCCTTCCATCATCTCCAGCCAGATCATAGTGGTCATAAATGTTCTCCATCTTGAAGGACCACTCAGCAAAGTTGTCACCGTTGAACTTGTCAAGGCCATCACTACAGGGGTCCAAGGCTAGGCTGCACCATCAGCAACGGTGTGATCTTGGTGTTGACCTTGTGCTTGGGCGTCTTCTCTGCTCCAATCACCTCTGCCACCTCCCTTCTTCAGTCTAGCATGGGCGAAATGGCTCCCAAGGGCTCTGATACACTGTTTATAGTCACAATAGGCTTAGATGTGCCTAAAATGAGAAGGTAAGTCGGATTCCGTCAGACGGCTTAAAATAATACGATCATGACTGGCGTCAAATGGTATCTTAAGTTGATATTGGAGTGCATTGCTGTTTCTATCAGCAGCAAGTTGAATCATAAAATTCCATGAAGTTTGACGAGCTATGGCCGGTTTGACTGGCAGGAGGTAAGCAGCCACTATAGTCTTAGAAGTACAAACTTAGCAAGAAGATTCGAGAGGAGATGGTTCCCAGCCTCTACATACCCAAGAGCTGAGGTCCAGGTTGGTGGTACCACCACAGAGTCCCCAACCATGAAAGAGTCTCGAAACCAACCCTCCAAGGGGCTACACCAAGTGAAATGTAACACTACACAAAGTAACGTTACTATTTTCACTATTTAATATTTTTCCGCGTCCCTTGGGCTTGAAATCTTGAGCTCTTGGTCTTGGTTCTGCAAGATAAATTCTTCTTGAGTTGATGGGGGCTTGCTGCACACACCTGCGACACGATGGACACTTCACACTCGACAAAATAGAAATAACACATGCGACACGCAAACAACGACTTGACATGCCAGTTGTAAAACTCGCTAATGTCTTGACCGACACAAACCACATTGTGATACACCAATCAAACACACACACAAGCACTGGAGAGCAATGACATAGACTCACAATTCATTCCATGCCATGCATGCACACACACAAGCAAGGACGACAAGCCGAGTGCAAGTCATAGGGTTGCACCAACAGCTTCGCTTCGCTTAGCTTCGCTTAGCTTTGTTTGGCTTCGTTTGGCATTGCTTACCTTCGCTTCGCTTAGCTTTGCTTGGCTTTGCTTAGCTTCCCTACTCTTTGATAGCTTCGCTTAGCTTCCGTTAGCTTCCCTTCGCTTCGCTTAGCTTCGCTTCGCATCCCTTAGCTTCGCTTAGCTTCGCTTAGCTTCTCTTAGCTTTGCTAAGCTTCGCTTCGCTTCACATCGCTTCTCTTCGCTTCGCTTCTCTTTGCTTCGCTTCGCTTAGCTTCGCTTCGATTTGATTAGCTTCGCTCTGCTTCGCTTAGCTTCGCTTAGCTTTGATTAGCTTTGCTTCGCTTCTCTTCGCCTCGCTTTGCTTCGCTTCGCTTTGCTTAGCATCGCTTAGCTTCGCTTCGCTTAGCTTCGCTTTGCTTTCCTTAGCTTTGCTTAGCTGCGCTTAGCTTTGCTTCGCTTCGCTTAGCTTCGCTTAGCTTCGCTTGGCTTCGCTTAGCTTCGCTTCGCTTAGCTTCGGCTTAGCTTCGCTTCGCTTAGCTTGCTTCGCTTTGCTTTGGCTTCGCTTTGCTTTTTGCTTTTAGCTTC